GTTTGTCCAATTGTCCCCAAAATGGATAAAAAAATGATTTTTGAGGGCATTTCAGAAAATTCATATATTTTTCCAAAAAAAAAAAAGAAAGAAAAAATGAGGGCAGACTTGTTTACCAAGTAATATATTCAAAATGAATTATATTGATTAACTAGAGTTAATTTTGAAGAAAATATGTATGATTAGTTGTTTGTGGCATTTTAAGAATGTATTAAAATAATATTTATAATTTAATGATTAAAATTAACTTGATGTAAAAGTAAGAGATAAATGATTAGAAATAATTGATATTTAAAATTATGTGAGTTGATAAATAATGAATTAAAATTGATGTGATGTGTAAGAATGAATGATTTGTATTATAATTATATGAATAATTTTAAGGATATTGAGCTTGAGTTAAAATTGAGTTAAATTTTGAGTATGAATTAAATGTGAGTAAATTATTTGGTAAACAAGCATGCCCTAAAGAAGAATTGGAGGGAGACCTAGGAAAATGGAGGGGAAATAGGAGGACGAATTATTAAGAGGAATATGCTAAAATTTGAGAATCATATCCCTTTGATTTTATAACAAATCAACATAAAATTCGACTTTCATATCCATACCAAATAAAATTCATATCACTTATTTCTTTTTAAAAATTTTAGATACACTTCTATCTATACTAATAAAATTCATACTATTTAAATTCGGACATTTCATATCAAAATAAAATCACAAATTTTATATTGTAAATTCGGACATTTATTAATAACAACATATTTTCTATCAAAGATAAAAATGATCATCATATATCTCAAATAAAATTGCTCATTTTTTATACCAAAATCTGACTTGTTAGTTTTGTATACTTTATACCATAAATTAATTAATTAATATCTAAAGGTGGATTTTTTAAAAATTGTGCAAAAATAAGAATTGTCAAGTTTAGTAATTTTAAAAATTTTAGGCGGAATTTTAATTTTTATTTTAAGTAATTACAAAATATTTTATATAGATATAGATTTTTTTTTTACTTATTTATTTATTTTTCTCTTTATTTTTGTATCATCCATAACCACACCACACAAAAACCCACCAGCTAAAATCCCCATATTCTTGCTGCCTCCTTCCTTTTACCATTTGGCGCTCCTCTCTGTTCTTCCTCCCTCTCTAGAACAGGCGGGGGCGCCAAAATTTGTGAGCCATGATTCGCAAAACCCTAACCCTAACTCACCATTTTCGCATTCACATACCCAATCTCCACGCACCCAATTGCAAATTCCACCTAAAATCAAATGATACCAAATCAAGCCTTCGAATCAGAAGCTGCAAAAAATATCGCTCGATTATCACCAACTGCAGTTTTCCAGGCAGTGAAACTGATGTGGTCACTGGAATTTCTTCAGCTAAGGAGGCAAATGAAGCTGCAATGGTGTCAATCGAGAAAGGGCCGTCATTAGCTGGAGATGTTTCAGAGAACAAAGGAGAGGATTTGCAAGGGAAGAGCAGCAGCATGTGGGATCAGATTGTTGAGATTGTGAAGTTCTCTGGTCCAGCTGTTGGGCTCTGGATTTGTGGGCCGCTGATGAGTTTGATTGATACTGTTGTTGTTGGTCAGGGCAGCTCGATCGAGCTTGCTGCCTTAGGTTCGCAAGTTTGTTTTCTCCTTGTTTGCTTTCTAGTATTAAGCTAAACGGACTAAATTTGTTGTACTTGTGTAAATGAGATTTTGATATAGAAAGAATGTCCATCTGCCTCTGTATCTGTTGGTTTTGCTTTTGTATTTCATTACCCGTGTTAAACGAGAGCAGCTTTGCGCTCAGTTCGTAAGTTGGACTCGGCTCGTTTAGTTAGCGAGCTCATGAAGTCTCAAGAAATAAGGATTTTTACATAACTACCAGAATTATTAGCTCAGCTCAGCTCGTTAATATGATAACGAGCTCGAGATGGTTCATGGGCTCCATTAGTTAACGAGCCCGAGCTCAAGTATGAGGACCTCGAGCTCGGCTCCTCTTTTACAGCTCTATATATTATAGCCAGCATTTTGATTACCGATGGAAGTTTGTATTGGGTTTTTCTTGTCTATATATATCAGGACCAGGAACAGTGCTGTGCGATTACACAAGTGCTATGTTTACATTTCTTTCAATCGCAACTTCAAATTTGGTAGCAACGGGCCTTGCAAGGCAGGTCTGTTGTCTTAATTTTAGATTCCACCACATTAAATTGTTGACACTTGTAAAGTTATTTATTCTAGAAGGTTGTTCACATGGTGACATCGTAAAGTTACCTTATTATGTTAGCTGTATGTGCTAATGCAACCAAGCACACTAGATAAAAATGAGGTCCAACACCAGATACTGATCTTTTAGATATCTAATGGTTACCTCATATTACATTGTTGATAAGTTGTTGTTATGTCATTATGTGGAAGATATTATGTGGTAAAAACTGTTACGATGACTTAATATATGCCCTATTCTATCCTGCAACCAGGACAAAAATGAGGTCCAACATCAGATATCTATCATGCTGTTTGTGGGACTGACTTGTGGTATCCTGATGCTTTTATTTACAAAGTTATATGGCCGTTGGGCGCTGACTGGTAAAGAGGACCAATCAATTTTACTCATCACTTATGTTTTTGTGATTATTTTTTTGTACCATTCTGTTCTGACGAATGTCTCTACATGATGCCAGTTTTTACAGGGGCAAAGAATGCAGATATCATAACTGCAGCAAATAAATATGTTCAGGTCCCTATAAACTTGATCTTGTTTTGCTAGTATGTGAGTATCTGTAATGTGTTTGGTCCCAGTTATTGATCATTTGGTGTTACTTTTAACTAATTCAGAGTGCCAAGACATTATTTGCATGGGAACTTTTTGACCTTAAGGATTGTCTGAAAAAATTATTTATGTAGTGAAATAGTGTACCATTTATTTCAAGAGGCAGAATTTACAGTAATGGTAAAATTTTAAATTGCATCTTCTATTAGCACTTACTTCAATGTTACAGCCTAGTTGATCGTTGTGAAGTCAGTTAAATTTGTTGCTATAACTTGATTTTCCTTTTTCTTTTTTGGTTTGATTGAACTCTCCCATTATTGGCTAGTGAACAGTGTCTTTCTTCAGATTCGAGGTTTAGTCTGGCCAGCATGGCTTGTTGGATGGGTTGCTCAAAGTGCAAGGTTTGTCATTAAGAATTGATTTTACGAGATTTTCCTCTCCTCTTTCTGCATTTAGATCTGCATAGGCTGTCTTTCATAATCTGTATTCCTAAATTGTTTTGTTTATTTACTTGTCATGTTTTCTTGATTTAACTTCATCAATCATCATTCATATAAGGCTTATAAACGTTGTCTTACTCTGAAAGTCTGTGTAGCTAATGAGCTTCTCGTTCACATGTCCTATGTTTTCTTCAGATTTCATAAGCATCTTACATGGAAACCAAGAATATGCGATTTGTTATTGTCCTTTTCTGAAGTTCCCTGATGAATCTTCTTTCGATCAGCACTTCAGTACTCACTGTTGTAAAGTTATCCTGCTGAAACAGGCTTTATAATGTTTAATAAAGCATTCTGTCTGAGTTTTAAGTCTTGAAATTCACTTGATTTTTATATGTTGATTAGTGTAATCGTTTGATTCATACCTGTTCTACACCCACCAGTGCCTATCTGTTCTGATTGCAATCTACATGTCTAATGCTGTTAGTTCCTTCAACATGTTTATTTTTGTGGTCCACAGCTTAGGGATGAAAGATTCTTGGGGACCTGTCAAGGCTTTGGCAGTTGCAAGTGCCATTAATGGAGTTGGTGACATAGTCTTATGCAGATTCCTTGGATTTGGCATAGCTGGAGCAGCATGGGCAACAATGGTGTCTCAGGTGTGCTTGTACAACAACAAACATTTTTCTTTCTTAAACAAGATCAGAAAATTAATGATATCATAAAGTTTTTTTGTTTGCTTCCTGATGTGTTCTTTGAAGGTGAATAATGGAACATACACTTCAAGTTCGTCTATACAAAACATCTGTCTACTATAAATACAAACAATCTCATGATACTTGTTTCTATTTTTAAAATTGCTTCCCGCTATAAGGTTACTGTTGATAAAACGCATGAGACAGGCAATGAAATGCATGGGAGGTTTTTATAGTTATTTATATGTTGAAACCGTTGCTTTCTATTTCTATTTGGACTAACGCATGCTTGTCATAGGCTGTGGCAGCTTTCATGATGATTAGGGCGTTGAATAAGAAGGGATACAATGGTTTTGCTATCTCCATTCCATCTCCAGCTGAATTCCGTCTAATATTCATGCTTGCAGCTCCAGCTTTTGTGGCAATTATGTCAAAGGTTTATGACAGCAATTCATAATTCTGTTTGTTACTTCTTCCTTTTGATTATTTACTGATATAATGTGATGCAGGTAGTTTTTTATGCTATGCTCGTCTTCTTTGCTACATCAATGGGTACAAAAACTGTTGCCGCCCATCAGGTTGGTGTTTTTTATAATAATAATAATAATGATGATGATGATGATGATGATGATGATGATAATAATAACAGCAATAAATGATAATAATAATAATTGCAATTTATATTATTATTGTTGATGCTACTTAACAATAAATAAAAA